GAAGGAAGGAAGGAAGGAAGGAAGGAAGGAAGGAAGGAAGGAAGGAAGGAAGGAAGGAAGGAAGAACAGCGCAGAGGTTTCTCCTTGGCTCCCAGACAAACCTCTGCTCTTACCAAACTAGATAATAGTGGTTTTGTCGTCTTTGTTTATACAGGTCCTGGGTGGTCTTGTGACTGTCACCTAGTTTGGTAACTAAACATCCAGGAGCCAAGCAGCAAGCTGGGAGGACATCCTCTGCCTAAATCTACAACCCAAGCTACAAAAATTCTCCACAATTTCCAAATAAGAGCAAGCATGAGATATTCCAAGCCTTTGGCAAAGACTAGCCAGCTTCTTCCTCTCTCACACAGGAAATATCTCTCTTAATTTTAATTGCACTGCTGGCCTTGGTGAACTTCCTGTTCTCCTCAAGCTACAATCCCAAGTACAACAAATAATGCTGTCATTATTTGATCCTGGAATTTTAATCAGTGAAATATATTTATGAAGTAATACCACCATTCTGCAGTATTAAACATGGTGAACCTTGCTTGCAGATGCTTTTCAGAAGAAGCATTTTCTCTAGTGAATAAAGTAAGATTGTACTAAGCATCTAAGATTTTTGTATGTATTCTCATTTTTTTAAAAAAGTCTGCTGTCCATTATTTTTAAGTGCTCACAGAACTTTTTAAACAAAATATTTTTAATGAAATAATGGACTAAATGTTGATCCCTTAGGTTTTAAGATGGAAGTGAAAATGATTTCATCTGGTATTTTAAGAAACCTGTTTTAAGGAACCTCTTTGAAGAATTCTAGTTTTGCACTGAAGGGTAGACATTAAACATGGGCAGTGTTTGAAATCCACCCTGACTCAATCTGTAATTCCTTAGAAATAGGACAATATTTTACACACAGATTACTTCCCAGACAGCTAGGTCTACATGCAAAGCTTGGGCAATTCTGAAAAGGAACAGAGCAAACATCACTTGGTTTTCCAGCATTTGCCTGTTGAGGAAGAGAAGCTGCAGCTTCTACTGCAAGGTTGAAGAATGGTCCATGCAACCAGATGCAATGTCTACATAAAAGGGGAAAAAGTGTTCCAATGAACCATAGGTCATCTGCAAAGAAAGTTAAGAGGGGCATAGAGACCAAGATTTTTTAAATAAAAAAAATCACTATAAAATGTGCCTGTCCTGTGAATCTGTTTTTATCAACTGGAACAATTTGAAAAGTGCCCTGCTCCAAACCAATGAGGATTTTCACCTTTGCAACCGGTGTCAGTTTCAGTGATCCTATTTCCATTCTGTGAGAACCACAGTCAGCCTGGAGAAACCTAATCCTGATACTAAGAATGGGAGGGGGTAGAGAGGAGAGAAAGGGAGAGAGCAAGAGAAGGAAGGGAAACAGGACTAAGTTTGCTGTTACAGGTTAAAGTGTAAGATCAAGCATGGCTTCTCCATGGTATCAACGGGAGAATCCAGGATGGGTTATTCTAGCCTGCTAGCTCATTGACTGAAACTAAATTCTAAAGACACGCCTCCTTGGCAATGATGTGATGGACACTAGAAGGTTTTAAAGAAGTTTACTTATATTCAGAAATGGATATCAAGGGCAATCTACAATTAGAAACTTGTTTACTATGGAATGTCAGTTGCTGGGAGTAGCACCAACCAAAGAATGCCCTTATTGTAAATTTCTTAGGGGATCTCACCAGTCCTGGCACTTGTAATGTTTAAATGTTTATTTCATTTGTATGCCGCCCTATCCCAAGAGACTCAGGGCGGCTAACAAGNGTGGCTGACTAAATACTTTTTTGCCCCACTGTATACATACATGATATTCAACTTTTGCAATCTCTAATAAACCTATCTGCAAATAAGTCACAGGAAACGTTTGATAAAACGCACACAAACCCCTCCCATGCCCCTTTCAGAAGCATCACTACCACATCTCTTGAAACTGACATGTGAGAGAGGGAGGGAGGGAGAAAGAAAGAGAGAGCAAGAGAGAGAAGGAAGGAAGGAAGGAAGGAAGGAAGGAAGGAAGGAAGGAAGGAAGGGACGCAATCCTCCTAGTACAAAAATATCACCTATGCCTCTTCTAGAGTAATTCAGTGTTTGTTTCAAATATGCCCCAAATGAATTTTGAAGGCAATGCTCAAAAAAGACATAGCTGGTCGCCACTGCTCCATCCTTTCCCCTTATGGGATGATGTGTCTGCAGAGACCTAGAAATAGAAACTGAAATAAGAGTTAAGCTCCTGTTAGATGCTTTTTACTGTCAACTGGCTTTGCAAAGGAGATGCTATCATCAGGCCTTTACATACCAAGACTGACTAATAAAGATCTCGCTTCAATCTATTCTTGCTTTAACCTAGGCTCCACCCCTAAAGCAGGAACAGGCAAAAAGTAAAGGAGACAGAATAAAGCCAGCATGATGAGCAGTTCTTTACCTGCAAAGTCCTACGTTTGTTGTCTTCTGTATGTATCCAAGCTCGTAGTGTCAACTCCGTGATGAATATCTGAGCAGCCTTGGCAAACAGAACAGGAGCTTCTGCACTGATCATCTACAGAAATGAAGGTGCATTTAATCTACTGACTGCATTATTAAAGACAATTACAGGACCCTGCATTACCCCCCACCCCATCCCATCCCCCCAAAATGCAAAACTTTCTTTGAGATGAGTGAGAGCTATTATAACTTATTTATCTTGGAAAATAAACTATAAATTAATTTATCTTCCAAGAAGATCAGAATGATGCATATGGAAGTTATCCCTTTGGTTCTCACAGCAACCTCAAAAGGTTGGATAGACAGAATTAGAGGTTAGTTTGAGGCTACTTGCTGAGTGTTTGGATTAATTGAGAATTTTACTTGGAAATTCCCCAGGTTTTGCCACCTTGTCAAAGGTTGCCTTCCAGATATGTTAGGACTGAAACATGCCATTTTCCAGCCAGAGAATTCAAGACTTTGAACCTCAAGTGATACAAATATGAAAGGGCTTCACTTCTGAGGCCTCCCCTCGAGCCCAAGAAAGCGACAGAGAAGACAAATGTGCATGTCTTGCATTTAAGAACACCTTAAAAGAAGGAAGGAAGGAAGGAAGGAAGGAAGGAAGGAAGGAAGGAAGGA